TGTGTATGTGTTTGTATTTGTTTGTATATCTGTTTGTGTTGCTTTTCTGTCCGTCTGTCCGTCTGTCCGTCTGTCCGTCTTTCCATCTGTTCATCTGTCCATGTGTCCATCTGTTTGTCCGTCCGTCCCATTCAACCTTTCGCTCTTTCTGTGCGAGTGCGTGTGCGTGAGCGTGCGTATGCGTGCATGCATGTGCGCGTGCGTGTGTGCTTGCGTGCGTATGTTTGCGCATGTGTGTGCGTGCGTGCGTGCGTGCGTGCGTGCATGCGCATGTGTGCGTATGTGTGTGTGTGTGTGTGTGTGTGTGTGTGTGTGTGTGTGTNTCGAGCGGCGTTGCAGACGAAGCCGAGTTTTCCGGCGGTTAGTTGATAGTCTAGCACAGCACCGCGAGCTAGCCCGGTGGGTGGGGGTGGGTAGGGGGGGTAGGGGATAAGTGGGGAGGGGGGGGAAGGAGGGTCACGGGTTAGAGGTGAACATGATCAAATTGTCGGAAGAAGTGTGTGTAGCGCAGACTGTCAGTAGTATATAGCGGGTTCGAGTTAAAGTGCAATTACGATGACGGGCGGGTGGCACCGGTCACACGGTTCCCAGCTAAGCTAATTGTGAGTGCTGGTACTTTTAACGCGGCGGTTAAGCTCTCGTTATTGCGCAGCATTACTCCGTAGCATGACGTGTGCCGTTTCATATTGTGGCGGGTGGTAGCCGGTAAACATGCAGCTGAGGTGCCGCACGACGCTGAGGCTGCTCGTAGGGGGCTGAGTTTGCCTTTGTGAGAGGTTAAATGTTGTTGTTGTGATTGATAATTATTTTGTGAGCGTCCGGTGTCTATTAGTGTGCGTTTTCGTGAGTGGTTTTTTGCCTGCTCACCAATTGTGTTGTGGAGTTAAGTCGAGTGCTTACATTGGAGCGCAGCCATGTTGGTATGGTTTAGCCACCCCTCTCTAGTGGGGAATGTTCTCCTCTTGCCGCGGGAGAAATAAACAGGCTTGACTCGGTGTGTGAGGCGGAGCGATATCGGTTGTTGTTTTGTCCTGCGGAGTTGGCTGTAGACTGTCACAATAGAGTTTCTGTCGAGGCGTTAGAGAGCGTAGCACCTCGAGTTTGTCCGGGCGTCTAGTGAGTTAACACTCGAGTTCGCGGCGGTTTGTCGAGGCGCGGCTGTAGTACTGAGCTCAATCTGTATATGAGCATTATGACGTTTGAGAGCCGCTGAGTGTTGTGTGCCGCGAGACTGGAGAGTATGGTGCGACACTAGCTGCGTACGTTACTGGGACAGTTACCGTGTACGGTTCACACAGTGTTCGACGTGGCTTGTGGCGGAGACCCCACAGAGGGTTCAAGATAGGAGAACATGGGCCTCAGTTAAGAGCTACGGTCGTTTGAGCTAGGCAGTTGTATTGTCCTGTTTGAATGTTGTTGTGGGGGCGAGTAAATAATACAGTGAGTTAGGAGTATTAAATGGACTCCTGAAATTGTAGAAGAGGGGGCAGTGCCGACGCTTCACGTCGGCAGGATTCAGAAACTGGCCTATTGCTCCTAAATGCTGTGCAGCAGCCGCGCAGCTAGAGAGGCCTGCGCGGTTATATATTAGACTGTCGTGGCACGCTCTATATCTGTATGCCTGTTGTTTATTATACCACCGGGTTGACTTTATTATCCAAGACGTTACGAGGCCAGCAGGAGCGGGGTGGGGTGCCCCGTTTCAACCGTTCTGTGGTGCTGGCACTTGTTGGACTAACCCACGCTATCGCAACCGGGCCGGAACGCGAACGCGCGCCGGCTTCGGGTACTACTGCGAGTGAGTGAGCACGGTACATTAGTGAGGCGCCTCTGGTGGCCTGCTGAGTCCGCTGGTGCGACGATCACGGCCCACTGTCCGACGATCCGGACATACTGGGTGAGTGTTTTAACCCGTAGTGTTATTGCCTAGTCCACTGACGTGTCGAACAGTGGCGGCCCTCGGGTGGCGCAGAGAGACCACCCTAAAACGTCTACACAGCGATGACGGGATCACGCACACGACACACGCACACGCCACACGACACGCCACCACGCTGCACACCACCCAACACACACCACACTCAGCACCGACGACACCAACCCACACACCACACACCCCACACACACGACACACACACCACACACATCACACGCACATCACGCGACAGCGGCACACGCATCACGCCGCGCACAGCACGCAGTATTGCTGCACCCAAGTCCAACGCACTCCATCGCAACACACACCAATTACGTATCATCCGTCGACTCCTATCCAGGAGGGGACTGAACGCATCTCCGGGCACTTTTAGAATGATTTGATTTCCAGGAGTTTGCGTTTGTAGTTTGGCTGGCGTCTCGCGACTGTATAGTGAATAGGTTGGCACAGGTCCTATGAATTGAATTCGAAGTTTCCTGAATAGTTTGCACACGGACCGGAAATGCAACAGAGTGGGAGCCAAATTGTAAACGTTAGTAAGTGATGTGCCAGAGGTCTTAGATTATAATGGGTTGTTTAGAGGTCTATTAATAACATAAAATGGTTGTTAAATGAGCTCTTTGATTGTAAAACATTACTATAGTGTTTGACAAGCTGCTATGATTACATTTGTAATGTTAAGCTAATACATTTGTCGTTGTTACTAATATATTACTTGAACCAACAGTTAAGATTCGCATTTCATCGGTGATTAATAATTAAAAGTAATAAATTAATTCCAAGTTAGTTGAACTGATTCGCTTATTCTGTAAATTAATTTAAAACCTATACTTCATTGTTAGGGGTGTTCGTGGACTGAGCTAATATTTTGCTGGGCCGTTGCCGCGTCACACACGCACTTCACGCAGCAAAGTTGCCACCACGAGCAATTTGTTGGTTGTGAGAAAATCAACCGGTTTGATCTCGCCAACTCGTCGCGTCACACTAAGATTTCCGTGTAGAGTCGGTCGTTAGCGGCCCCCGCACACTTGGCGCATTTTTGTAGCGACCAACGAAAATTGCCTGTTACGAAGCAAGCGAAAATGGGTGAGCTGTGCCGCTGTACCGACGCCTGAGCGACGCAGATGTTGCGCGCGAACGGCGAGCGAGAGCCAGAGTCGCGAGGCGAATGCACATTTATGCCGCGCGCAAATACGACAGATACATTGCAGGGCCGCGTTCTCAGAAAAAAATTAGACTTAACATTAACCTTAACATTAACTTTTTTTCTTAAAAGCGTTGCCCAGAAACTTCTACAGTTAAGAGAATTAAAAATATCTCGTAACTTTTCTCTTTAACTTAAGAAATCCTACACCCTCCCTTAACTTTAATATTAAGTTGAAAATAACACATTTACACTTACGAATTACAATTATAGTGATTATTTATTTTATATAATAATGAATAAATGTGTGTTTTTCTTGAAAAAACACGTCAAAATCATTAATTATCTACGCGCTAATAAAACAAAACAATACATTTAACACAGCATTAAATAAGTTCATTCGGTTGGTAGAAAATATAAATAACCAAAATTAATTTTTACTCAACCGTGCTGGTATGAAACGTACCGCTGACGTTTCGGCCTCCTGTTCAGGAAGCTTTCTCAAAGCTAACTGATGCTTAATCAGTTTTTGAACCACCAGATGGTGTGGTGGTCAATAGCTTAATCCACACGTGACTAAGCCTGTAATATAATGTGTGAAAGAAGTTACATTGGAGAAACCGGCCAAAAATTTAAAACCCGCTTAAAAGAACAGCAAAAGGACGTAGACACCGTAGCACCCAAATCGTTCACTAGGCGCCCAACGAAATAGTCGGCTACCGAAATCACCAAATCCGGCGATCACTGATCATGTAGCGAAGGACAACCACACCATCGATTGGGGAATTCGCAGATCATTGATCGCGAGCCTAACAAAATCAGGCGTTGGATCAAGGAGGCATCTGGATCCGCAAGACCCCAAACATCAACCGGGACGATGGGGGGATACAGGCTTAGTCACGTGTGGACTAAGCTATTGACCACCACCACCATCTGGTGGTCAAAACTGATTAACATCAGTTAGCTTTGAGAAAGCTTCCTGACAGGAGGCGAAACGTCACGGTACGTTTCATACCAGCACGGTTGAGTAATATTAACTTGGTTAAATTACATTTACAAATGACGATATGGCATTTGTTCTCTTGTTTTAAAGGTTTGCAAACGCTTGCCACGATTCTCGCGTCTCGCGTTACAGTGTGGAGAATTTGTCTTGTTATGCAGAATAAATTCATGACCACGTAATTTTTTCATCAAATATTATTTATATGTGGTTAGCCATCATAATATGCCATAAATTACTGTGATATACATTAAATGTGTATGAATTTGAATTTTGTTATCGATTCTCATCCAATCAGCAGCCTTGTGACTGAAATTATTGAAGTTCATGTTATCGTAAGTTTTCACTTAAGTAAGTTAGTTTAAGTTGGTTTCTGGCAACGCTATTAAAATTAACCTTAACATTAACATTAGACTTAAAATTAATCGTAACTTTAAGAAGTTTCTGACCACGGGCCCCAGGGCCGTAGCACAAGAACATCACGGGAAATTATCGCGCGTAGCAATGGTGAGAAACAGTCGGAAACGGGCGAGTAGTGTCGCTTAAACGCAGTTTTCCCACACTTCATGTAAAGTGACATAATGTTTCTAGGTAGAAATGAAAAAAAACACCATCAAGAACACCCCTGCCAATTTTAAAGGGCCTACCCCCACATTTACGAAAATGACATAGGTCTCAATCTGGACATCATCTCTATCCTTGAACCGCCTCGGCTGCTCCAGCTGCGGCTGTTGCTGCTGCTGCTGCTGCTGGTGGTGGTGGTGCTGCTGCTATTGCTGCTGCCGCTGGTGCGGCTGCTGCTGCCGCGGTTGCAGCTGCTCCTGCCGCTGCTGCTGCTGGTGCTGCTGCTGCTGCTCTAGCTGCGGCTGTTGCTGCTGCCATTGCTCCTGCCGCTGCTGCTGGTGCTGCTGGTGCTGCTACTGCTGCTCTAGCTGCGGCTGTTGCTGCTGCTGCCGCGGTTGCGGCTGCTGCTGCTGCTGCTGCTGCGCTTGTGGGACAGGTCCAGTTAACTTGTGAAGTGAGGTCTTGCAGTTGTCTTCTAAAGTCCTAAAAAAATGAGAGAGAGAAAGCGAGAGAGAGAGAGAGCGAGGTGGGAGAGAGAGAGGGAGAGAGAGCGAGAGAGAGGGAGAGAGAGGGAGAGAGAGGGAGAGAGAGTGCGAGAGAGTGAGAGAGAGTGAGAGAGAGAGAGCGCGCGAGGTGGGAGAGAGAGAGCGAGAGAGAGCGAGAGAGAGGGAGAGAGAGTGAGAGAGAGCGAGGGGGAGGGGGAGACGCGAGATATTAATTATTCTAAATAATATGATTTCTTATAGTTATACATATGAGCCGCAGAGGCAGCAGCAGCAGCAACCACAACGAAAACAAACTGACATCGTTTCAGAAATGAGGTATGTAACCATCTTGATACATTGATTTGCAATCTTGATCAATGATCTTCTGGATACCTGTCAGAAGGAGCAGCATATGGTTATCACATATGGTTTTTGGCTGAGTAAAAGGTGTAAACCAGTGCCACCATACTCACTATTGCTTTTCCATTGAGCAAGGTACTTTATCCATATTTGCATAGAGTGGGAGGAGTTATTCAGGGATATCACAGCTATATATTAAATAAAGTACAGAAAATTATCCTGCATGTATATAAGTATATATATACATAATTAACTATATTTCAGACGTGCCTTTCCTTACTACAAGAGGTTTGCAGGCACAGTGAAATCAACCCCCAAACGCCGACCAAAATCATCATGCAGACAAATGCATTTTAAGCTTTGCTGCTTAGCAACTAATGAGGAATTTAGCCCAGACAAGGAAGAGGAATGTCTTCTTGCCAAAGCTGGTTTGGGTAAATATACATGAAATGTGTTTTGAAATGTAATACCTGGTAGCTATAGGAAGAGATGTCCATGAGTTATACCTATAGCCAGTTGTAAACAGATGCTATTGACTGTAGGCCTACATTATTTTGCATTTGTTTTGGGCTATGATGGGAATTCGAGTATCTGTGGATTCCTATTCATATATATCTGCCATTTCTCCACTTGCAACATGCAGGATTACAGTTACCACGGTTTTGCCACAGATTACGGTAGGCACATACACCATATTTTTCGCATACAGATATTTTCGCGAATTCAGACTTGACGGACAATTTCGCGAGTGGTTAATTTCGCGGTCGGTGAATTATGAAATATTCGATATTATTCAGTATTAATTATTCGCGTGTTGGTTTGTTCGCTGTCGGGGACGTGTTCACGAAATTCGCGAAAATTAAACCATCGTGGAATATACAGTGTATGCAGTAGATCAGACTTAAATTAATGACGGCCTTAAATCCATGTCATTTCTAGCATATTTTTTCAACAAATCACTGTAGAAACGTAACAAAACAAGGAAATAATTAAAGGGACAGTAGCCTCTAGGATTTTACTGCATACAACTGTACTTACTGTATAACAAATTGTCTATACCCACATGTATTTGTCACCAGATACTTAATTAATTATTT